CCCCCCACATGTAACATTTTTTAAAAGATAAAAAAATAAAAGAGGAACTTATTCTGTTCAAGATTATAATCAAATAGGATTGTGAACCTTAACGCACTATGATATTCAAATAAATAAATGATGAAATCAAATATCTAAAGAGAAGACAAAGAAAGATTTTAGAAAATTTTTCCAAAAAAAATAGTAATTATTATAAAATAAAATTCAATTAATAAAAAAATTACTTATATATAGTTAAAAAATTTATAAATAAAAAAGTCGCATATCATAATTAAAATATTGTTATTCTTAAACTATTTTCTAGATCTTTAAATAAATCGTAATTCTTTTTCAAAGTAGAAAACTACATTTCAAATATAAACTAGTTATTGACATGATTAGTTCCATAAATAGACCCACGAATTGCATTGGTTAATAGATAGTGAATATGATGATTCGTCATGATAATGCCAACTTCTTACAAGAGATTCCAAGTGTCCAAGGACGTAGGGGTCATATTTATGTGAACAAAGAAGTTGTTCTAAGTCATCCATATTTCTGATTGCTTCATGTTTTATTTCAGTCACATAAGGATTATATACATTTCATAAAATTGGTATGAGAAAAAGTAAATATTTTTGACGAAAATCATAAACATAAGAATCTATAATTCATTTAAAGACTTTTTTGTTATTATAAAATATATTTTGTAAGTTTTGATGATTTTGTATGTTTAAAGCAAGAATTTAGTATTTCATTATATTGTCTTAAAAGTGAATCATAATACACTCTTGAAAGAAATAAATTATGTTTTTTATGGATAACTTATTTGAATAAATTTTAAAATATAAATTACTTGAAACATTTTTTTATTTGATGTTTGTAGATAAAATTTTAGAAGATAAGAAATTAAACAAATAGTTTATTACTCGAAAATTTTCCTTCAGTAGACCTATATTGAAATTAAATTCTTTAATTAGACTTGGTCAATATTTATTTTCGCAACTAGACCTTTTTTTCTTACTATGGTAAAAATTTGTTTTGCAAGACAATCGAAATTGAAAGTGAATTTATGTTTGTTATGATAAATTGCCTGTTAGAAATCGGCTAATCGATGGGGAGCCAAATTCTAAGCCGGTTTTTAAGCCTTTTTATTTTAATATAAATTATTATTTTGAAATAAATTATAGAATTAGAAATGTCAATATGTAGAAAATAGATTTAAGGTATTTTTAGTTTATTTTTAAAGATATTTTATTTATAGAAAATTTAAAAATATAGTAAAATATATATTTTTTAATAGAATTTTTAAATAAGAGATTGGGTATTTTTTTTAAAAATATATAAAAATAGAAAATTAAAGCATATAGAAAAATGCATGATTTTTTAATAGAAATTTATAAAACTTTTAAAATATAAGAGGTATAGAATTTTGAAAAAAAACGTATATTCAGAATATACACACACACACATTTGAAAAAAGGTATAGAACTTTTAAAATATATATTCAAGTTATTTCAGTACAAATTATTCTTTAACCATATAAATATACATTTGTCAACTTAATTGAAATCAATTATCCTAAATCAATTCAAATTAATAGTTTTTTTTTATCAAACAACAATTTTTCTCTGTATTATTTTTTTTTTCATTTTTTAAACTATAATTTTAATAATCTATATATTCAATAAATTATTATCTTAATAAATTACAACAATTTAAATTCATATTAGTAAATTACATTACACTTCCACATTTTCCATTTCTTAAATATATTTCTCCATCTGCTATTCTTTAATAATTAAAAAAAAAACATTCCAACAATTTAATATTACAAAATCCAACCATAAATATAAATATTATATCATCTTATATACATATAAACTTTGCTTTTTTTACCTTTTTCATTTTTTTCTTAAAAAAATTCGAAAATAAAATAAATTAAAAAAACCAATTCAAAATTCGACCTCTCGATAACCAAATTCCAACTAATTTTTTGGCACCTGATGTGCAATGTGTGCTGTCTGGATAATTAATAATTATCATGCACAATTCGCTATCTCTCTAGTAATAAGTGGAACAATGCTACTGAAAAAAATATAATAAAAACAAAATAATAGTTAATAACCAACCACCTTGTACATTTTAAATTTTTTATAAGTTTCAATTAAAAAATTATACATTTTGCTATATATTTTAATTTTCTACTTTTATGTTTTTTGAAATAAAATTTTTAATTTTTTTTACCTAGTTTCTTATTTAAATTTTTTATCATTTTTTATTAAAAATTATATATTTTACTATATTTCTAAATTTTATCTTAATATTTTCTATAAATAAAATACATTTTTACAACTAAACTAAAATTACCATAAATTTATTTTTTATACTTTTCTATTTCTATTTCTACAACTTTTTTCAAAATAATAACCTATATTTAAAAAAAAATCTTAAAAACCCGTTTTAAATTTGGCCGTCAATTTATCATAACAAACATAAATTCACTTTTAATTTCGATTGTCTTCAAAACGAATTCTCAAGTAAAAAGGTCTATTTGCAGAGATAAACATTGGCCAACTCTACTAAGAAAATTTAATTTCAATATAGGTCTACAATAGGAAAAAACTCGTATTACTCTTATAAAATATTTAAGTTTTAATCAACGGGCATGTATAGATAAAAAGACTTACCTGCAAAAATTCTTTGATAATAATAAGAGAATTAGGTTCTATTAATAATTATTAAGTATTAAGTATGAAGTGAGTGTATTCCTTTTTGAAAGTTATTGTTATATGGGTTAAATATATTTTTGGTGCTTTAATTTTTAGTGAAAATTGGAATTAGTCCTTCTTTCAAACTTTGGCCTAATTTAGTCTCCAAATTTTAGAAATGTATGAATTTAGTTCTTTTAGCTAAATTTTGTTAGGTTTATTAGATGTTTTAAGTGTATTTCATGATAGTATTTGAGTTGTTTATGCCGTTTGATATATTTTTGCTTTAATGTTAATTGAGAAATGTGTTTGAAACTTCAAATAAAGTTAACAAAATTTAGTTAAAAGAACTAAATTCATACATTTATAAAGTTTGAGGACTAAATTGGTCAAACGTTTTAAAGAAAAACTAATTTTAATTTTCAATGAAAGTTAAGGGACAAAAACATATTTAATCCTTGTTATATTTATAAGATTAACCTGAGTTGTAGATATATATTCCTATTATAATAATACTTATTTAAAAAATATAATAATAATAATAGAAAGATAAATCCTAAATAACATATCAAATTACTAAAATTTAATTATAATATATAAATATAACTTAAATAAATATAGATTTAAACTGTTTCATAATAATAATAATAATAATAATAATAATAAAGAGCCTTAAACAACCTTAAATAGTCTTATTTAAACAGTTCACTAAATATGTTTGTTGAGTAGATATGAACAAAACCCATATATTACTCAACTACTTAAACTTAAAAAAGATAAAGAAAAAAATTATAAAGAAATGTAACCCTATGAAATAGAGAATGATAACCATTTGTAAATATTTCATTCTTTATTTATTAAAACAATCTTCGAAAATTCAAGTCTCACATAATGTTGAAAGTCTTTATCTTATACACCAATGACATCTACATCACTTTTATATAAATGTAGAATGTCTAGAATAACGTATGTAGAATCCTCTTCTTCTAGAAATTTTACTTTTCTTCCTTTCAAAATTCTTAGAGTTTTATATACATTAAAAATTTAGATTGATTTTATACCATATAATAGTAACAATATATGTTTATATATATATATATATATATATATATATATATATATATATATATATATATATATATATCAATAATAAGTTTAGTAGTCCAATGAAATTGTTTTGGTTTAAACCCTTTAGTTGTTCTTATTTATGTGGGTTTTTTCCAGTTTGATCCCTGTTCTTTTAAAATTTCCAATTGAGTCCTAAAAAGTGTTAATTTGAATCGATTGAGCCACTGCCGTTAAATTTACTTGATGTAGTTAAATTTTTGCTGAGATCGAAGGTTGATGTGTCCAATTTTTTTAAACTGGCATTCTTTATGCTGCATACGTGGAATATATAATTAAAAAGATATTCTGAAAATTAAAACCCAAATTAGGGTTCCAAGCCACACTCTCGACTCGCGCTTGTTCGAGTCGGATCTCGGCGGCGAACTTTCCCAAGGCCACTGGCAGACTCCTCTGTAGTGCTTCTTTTCCGGCTGGTTCTCCGATTTCCCAAATTGAATCCACTCGGCCTTTTTGCAGAGAACGTTTTCGATTTAATTGAAGCCTCTCCCTCCCAACATCGTACCATCTCTGTTGCGCTGCATAAACATTTGATAACAACACAAAATCCCCACAATGGATTTGCTCACTTTCTTCCAAAACGATCTTCACAATCCTACTCTTCTTCAACAGATCACTCGCAAAATTGAGTCCATGGATTTGCTGGTTTATAACAAGAAAAGGCGATTACCTCCTCGGCTTGATGATCGTGACCACGTTGCTGGAAACACCTTTGTTGAATGTTTTGGAACGAAATTTGGAAATGTTTTTCATCATGAATTCTTCGAAACTGCTAAAACCTTCTACGCATTATTCAAATCTTTCCAGGCACAATCTTCGAAGTTCAAACTACGGTAACAGAAACGTTTCAGGTGGGATCGAAATGTACACAAAGCAGTACCTAGAAATTGTCTCTTCGTTCTTCTTCTGACCATCCTTCTGAGCCTTGTCTCTGATCAGGTGCAACGCGGACACGATTCCTTTGATGTCACTGCAGATTTGCACAATAGGTTAAACTTTTAGATTCCAAAAATTAAATAAATGAAAAGACAAAAGCAGAGAAGACGAACTCTGAGAGATCGAAATCCAAATCGAGATCGAAATTATCATTTGTTGATCGGTTGCTCTTATCGGTTTTTGTGAGTTCGGATTCGGATGCCCACTTCCTTGACCCGGATTCTAAATATTGTAAAATTTCACTATTAAGACATTGAAGATTTCACGTACAGCAATAAGCCAACGACAGCAGATAGAACTGAGTACACAGATTGAAGTGTACATCGTAATGGTTGCCACAATTGCTCACAGACTTAAAAAGTAATAATATCAAAGGTACCTGGTGCTCAATAATAGAACTATCATAGGGAACATCTATACGTCTCTGTAGCCTCTGTAAGCATTCCTCCTGAGAATTGGAAATTCAACACCATGTTGTATAATTATAAACAACAACAATATTTAACAGAAAAATAAGAAAGTGATCCAAAAATTCATATGGTAGAGGGAGTTCGAGTTTCTTGGTACCACTATACACAACAACTGACAAGCTATTGGCAGTCACGATTTAATTTCCTCGCACTCCCAAACCATACAAAATATATGGATGACAAACATACAAACAAATAAAAAAGAAACACGTAACCAGAAATACAATTTAACAGTATGTTTATTATTTGGTAAGACATCATTCAGCACAAACCTAAATCGTAAAATGTTTATATTGCACACCATGTATAATATGCTAATTTATTTATTTATTCTATACAAAAATTGTAGTATCTTTACACTGCTAACAGAGATAATTGAACAAGAAACTAAGTGCTGCTACTGATATAAAAAAAGTACCTGGGCGAGGGTTAAATCGAAAGAGTTAGAAGCATCACTATCTCTTCTTTGTACACAGACACAAGACAGACCTCGACCAAGCCATGCTGCTGATCCTGCCACAACCTCAGCTGCAACAAAAAAAACTGCCATCAACGAACATTCTACCCAAATTTATCTTATGTTACATATTTCATCCTAAGTAAATGGATCAACAAGCAGTGCTTCAAACAACACAGAAAGTGGCAACATTCTTTTAGCTTTCCGAATTTACAATTTATTGTAATCAAATCCTCATAAACGTAACTGGAAAGCCTTAAAATACAAAGCAATACAAAATGTGAAAAAACCAACATTGCAATCTCCCCAAACTACAGTCCCTTATTGGTCTGTACAGAAAATTTCAATAGCCGGGGAAAAGAGACACAATCTGCCATTCAATCTTTAGGGGGAGCTCAATAAAACTTTATTTACAACTAATTTAGGCTTATTTTATGACACAAGTACTTATAAAAGTGTTACAAAGATTCTGATAATGATTTCTGATGCTTATCTATAAAATTGTTGTCAGCTTATTTCAACAAGATCTTCAAGATAAGCTTATCAAGACATCAAACAACCTAAAAGCAGTTAAATTCTATTCATTGACCAATTGTAGAAGCCACTTACACATAAGCGCTTATACAATAAACACCAAAAAGCTCTATTTGGATAAACTTCTCAACAAGCACCAATGGAACAGAAGAAAAATAAGATGGAATGAATTAAACTTTTTCTATAAATTAAAATCAACATCCAGGGAAGCCAAATGAAAGAGTTTCTTTATAAATGAACTAATGGATAAGCTGGTGAACTTGTAGAAGCACCTTAATTCATTTCAATTTCTTATTTTCTTTTCCTATAGAGTAAGAATTTCATCATAACTGAGTTTTATTCAATCCTAAATGCCTTCATAACATTTAACAAGTAGTTTCTGTGTTCCCCACAGGGTCAATCCAGAAACTAAGTCTATACCTGGATGTGGACCCCACATGCCACATCGTCCCTTAAACAGAGAAAACACCACATTAAAAATAACAATAATAATGAAAAAAAGAGCAACGCAGCAGCGCTTAATCATAGGAGATCTCCGCACTGCTTTATTCTGAATCATAACTATTGGAACCAGCTTCAAACACAGCACGTGACTGCATTTTCCAATACACAATACGAACAAAACCCAATTTCACGAACGCTAGATCTAGTGGAACAACCAAGCCTCACAAACTAACATCTGAATTTGCATAATTCTAACTGCAACAGTTATACAAGTTCTTTTTCTGAAAACAAAACACAAAATAATAATAATAAAATAATAAATAATTTAACAAAATGAATTCGGCATCCCACCAATGCAATTAAGAATAGCAGCAAACATCACGCAACTCGCGTTTTGATTCGGTCTATCCTAAACGGTTCGATCCCGATCCCGGCCCATATATTCGATAGTCATAATAGAATTAATTATATTATAATAATTTAACGGTAATTTAATAATATATATATATATATTATATATATATTATATACTATATATAAATCTATTATATTTTTGCAGAAGAAAAAAGAGTAAGAGAGGAGAAAGAGAAAAAAAAAGCCAAAAGGAAGAGGAGGGCAACACAACACAATACAAAGTCAAGCTACAAAAACTAAACTTAAAAGAGAACAATGAAAAAAAAAACTTTCAAATATACATGAGAGAGCGAAATGAACGAAAAAAAACAAAAAATAAACGAGAAACTTCGAAGCATTTTCGTTTTTTATTTTTCATTTTGTTCTGAAATTTACCAGAATTTGAATGGCAGGTTTCTCCTTGAGGAATTCTCCTCACAGCAACGAATGAGCTTCCTCTATCCTCCATTGTTGTGTTCTTCTTTTCCGAAAAGCTACCGTTACTGATACTGTAGCATCTTAATCTATAACCTTGAATCTCTCATTCTGGCGAAAATCCGAAGAACGCGAATCGAACTGGAAAAGGTTCGGCGCGAAGATCTGAGAGTGCGGAAAACAGTTACAGGTTCACGGAAGAAGGAGAAGGAGTTTTCTATGTGTATGAAGTTTGAAGTATATATGAGAGAGAGAGTGTCGTTTTGGTTATGGAGTTGGCGTTTTGTTAGATATAGATAGAAAGAGAGGGAGACAGTGAGAGAGAGTGGTTGGTTATGGAATTAATTTTTCAACACAACAATGGGAAACGACATTGTATTTAAAGAAAAAAGAATATATATAAAACGGAAGCGTTTTGGAAACGAGTACGAGTACTACTGCTGCTGCTACTGTTTATGACTTGAATTAATTGTGGTCAAAGCTGTCATAAATAGAAATGTTTTATTATTATTTTAAGAAATATTTTTGTTAAAGTGCACTAGATAACGAATTAACGAATTAGAAAGAAAAATATTCAATAAAAGGAAATTCCAAATTAGATCTATATATTTAATACAAAGTTTAATAAAAATAATAGAAGTTACTTATTTGGGAAAGATTAATCAAAAACGGCTAATTAAAAAATATATAAAAATTAAACATTTAGAAACTCAATTAAAATTGTTTGTATGAATAATAAATCTTTAAAAAATTGTTTTTAATTTGCAAATTTTTATTTTTTATGTTAATATTATCTTAGTAATAGTACTTAACAATTCATGTGTTAAAATAAAATATCTATTGTTATAATACAATTTATTTTGTGATACTAAATTTTAATATCTATAAAAATAAATGTTATTATCTCTTTTCAATAAAATAAAAAAATTATAAATAGTGATTAGGAAAAATTTAAAGATGGAAAATAAAACATTTGGTATTTTATAAAAATTAAATATCAAAATTCAGCTATTCTAAAAGGAATATAAAAAAATTTCAAATTTTAAGAAATGAAAAATTGAAAAAAAAAATCACCAATTTTGCAATGAATTAAAAACATATATTGGTAAAAGTATATTTCACTCGGAGTCCTCGTTCTTGGTATGGTCTTTTAATGTTCAAAAATGGAGTTTTCAAGAGCGGTTCATCTTAATTGGTTCAGTGTTGAAATCGACGTTCGTTCATAGCGTTCTGAATATATTATTTGTGTTCGCTTATTTCTTAAAAACCGATGTTCAACTTTGTCTTATTCCATTCTCAAATTTGAAGATCTCTATGTCTCGCTCTATGTGTCGGCCTAGTTAGTTTGAAGTTAGGGTTGAACGTTCGTTTATTTGGGAATCCATGGAAACTTGTAAGAGGTGATTAAATGAGATGTTATTAATAAAAGATGAAGAAAAGGTTATATAGGAATGTTGTGAGGATGGACGAGCGTTCCGGGGAGGAAGGGAACGAGTCCTATGTATGAAAATTGGAAGTTGTAAAGTATATGACTGTCGCGTACTGCTAAGCTGTCGGTTCATCCTGATGTTCGTGAGTACTCGTACTCACGTAGAGGGAGGGTAGGTCATGTGTTGGGAACGACAGGAGGTCTAGTCCTTAGGGGTCTTTGGACGAAGGACTTAAACCTCGGTGGCAGCTGATGAGAGTGTTCCAGTTACTACATCACCCGGGTGCACGAACGTCGTAGCTACACAGATTTCATACAGTCCGGACGGTCAATCTAGTATATTAGGCTTGTGTGAACGAACTCTGATGTATTTTGTTTGAATGATTTTGTGAAATGTACGATATGCATGAATTAAATTACATAAGCTTACCCTGCATTTCCTGTGTTGTCTGTTTTGTACGTCCGTCCTTGTCGTTGCAAGTGGATGTGAGCAGAAGGAGACGAGCTGCTGGAAGAGACGCTGGAAGAAGAAAATTTGGTAGAAGTAGAAGTAAAGACCGAACAATAGAACGTTCGGTCAGTAGTTTAGTATAGCAAGGTGGTCGTTCGATCACCTCCCCTTTTGATGTTTTGTTCGAGCGTTCGGTAGTTCCTTTTGTAAACCGTTCGGTCGGACTTGTACTGCTGTATAGTTTAATTGTAACTCTTTATGTAAGGCCGTTCGGCCATAACCGCACGCCCTTTTTAATTTTAAGACTGATCTGAATTATTATTAAATGTAAATATTCTATCATATAGTTTATCTGTATTTTGGGATGTTACATCGCATTTTTTCATTTATTTATTTATTTTTGATTTTTTTATTTATTTTTTAGTTTTTTCTTTTACATATTCAACGATGGTAATTTTTTTTACTTCTAACTTGATTTGTTAATATATATATATATATATATATATATATATATATTTCTCATGTAAAAAAAATTTGTAAAATGAAAAAAATAAATTAAAAGTGCCTACATGTCAAATTTTCTATTAAATGAATTATATCGCTTTAAATATAAAACGTTTTAGTTAGAGAAAGTTCTAAATAATTGCTTTTAACAAAAAAAGAAATAAAAGAAATGTTAACTTAAAAATAGAATAAAAAATTGTTGAACAACGCTGAAACTAAACACATTGCGAAAACTATTCATTAAAATAATCAATTCTGTAATAATTTCAAATATAAAGGTCAAATGCATTAAATAGCAAAGAGTACTCCTTTAAATCATTTAATTATAATTAAATACATAATATTATTGCTGAAGAAATGTATATTATGGTTTGGTTCTGAAATTATTGGACATTGTATATAACTTTCCGTCAAAAGGAAACATTGTAACTTTAGTCTGTATTCAAACTAAGTCCTTCAGTTTTTAGTTGTTTCATTCAAATGTTTAATTTTATCAATGCTTTGTGTAATAAGAAGATTTAATTTTAGAGAAATAATATTTTTAAATAAATAAAAAATAAAGCTATTGAATTTTCAATTATAACTTTAAAAGTTAACTTAGAACATCATTATCATTATTTATCAAATTTTGACACTCCCTCGTCTAATACTTATTTACTATAGGTTACACTAGTACACTTATATTTTAATCCACTGGGATGGTGTTTTGCAGACACTAGTGCAGAATTGGCTTTTAACGTCCCCTCATAGACGTCCGTCTACAAAAGCCCCCAGTATATAATTGACCGATGGCATATTCGTAAATAAGTGAAACTCGAGACGTCCGTCCTTGGGCGAGCTGGACGTTTATAATATTATAGACGTTCCGTGGAGGGGGACGGACGTCTACTAGGCTCCCCATGTCAGCCCTTAAACGTCCGTCCTGGGACGAGACGGACGTTTATAATATTATGAACTTCCGTCTTGGGGGACGGACGTTTAGTAGGCTGAACAAGTGAACGTTTCAGTCCCATGGCCAGCCCTTAGAACGTCCGTCCTGGGGCGAGACGGACGTTTATAATATTATGAACGTCCGCTGGGGGACGGACGTATAGTGAGGTGAACACTGAACGTTTCAAATCCCCATGTGTCAGCCACTGAACGTCCGTCCTGGGATTCTGGGAAGGGCGGCGACGTTTATAAATGATAGACGTCCATCCTGGGAGGGCGCGGAGTTTTATAATATATAGGACGTCCGTGGGAAGGGGGCGGACGTCACTGGGATGAACACTGAACGTTCAACTCCCATGGTCAGGCCACTGAAACGTCGTCCTGGTGACAGGAGCGGACGTTTATAGTATTATAGACGTCCGTGGGAGGGGGGCGGACGTTCACTAGGCTGAACACTGAACGTTTCAACTCCCCATGTGTCAGCCACTTGAACGTCTGTCCTGGGGGGCGCGGACGTTTATATTATTATAGACGTCCGTGGGAGGGGGGGGACGTCACTAGGCTAAACACTGAACGTTTCAACTCCCCATGTGTCAGCCACTTTTGAACGTCATCCTGGGAGGGCGAGCGAACATTTATATATTATAGACGTCCGTTGGGAGGGGGGGGACGTTAACTAGGTGAAACACTGAAGTTTCAAATCCCACTGTGTCAGCACTGGAACGTTTCCTGGGTGGCGGCGGACGTTTAATAGTATTATAGACGTCGTGGGAGGGGGGCGGACGTTCCTAGGCGAACACTGAACGTTTCAACTCCCCATGTCAGCCACTTGACGTCCGTCCTGGGAGGGGCGCGGACGTCTTATAAAGTATTAATATTGTCAAAAACGCGAAACCCGCGAGCAGTTACGCTCGTCTTCCCCCCGACGAACGCTGTTTGCTCCATGAATTTCTAGGTGGTTTTTTCTCTTTTTTGGGACCGTTTAAATTAACTTTTCAATCCGATTAAATTGCTCTGTGAAGAAATACCTTTGATTTGAACCGATTTAAAAAATCGTTTCGGTTACGTTTTTTGCAGTCTCTTGCGTGTTCGTGGGCGGATTCTTGTGACTGTTTTTGGGCTACGTTTTATGCGTTCCCTCCTCGAATTCCCTCCCTTGACTGTTTTTGGGCTAAATTCTTTAGGCCGTTACGGGCAGTGCACAAACGGACGTCCAACCCCCCAGCCCCCTACCACTAAACAATACAGCCAAGTAGACGTCAAGGGTCGAGGCGCCGGACGTCTATATAAACGTCCGGCCTAAAATAGCAGACGTTTATATAGACGTCCGGCCTGACACAACGAACGTTTATATAAACGTCCGACCTGGTACAACGGACGTCTACATAGACGTCACCCGCATAGACGTCCGTTGGAGATCGGACGTCAAAAGGCCCAGAGAACGGACGTCTATAGCCCGTTCTGCACTAGTGAGATGAATCAAAAACCATCTATTTTTCTAACTCATAATAATAATAAAAAATCATATATGTGAAGATATAAATACACTGATTTGGAATTTGAAATTACAAAACATATTTTAGTATTCTTTTTTATAAATTAATGACAACTCAACTTTAAAAAAAAAGTAAAAAAAAAATCTATCAAATACAAAATCTTCAATAAAAATTTATTAAGAACTGAAATTCATCCATTAAACAGTTCTTACTATAAAGTATACTTTAACTAAATTAACTAATTTTAATATCTCGAATTACTATAATCACTTCACTAATTCAAAGTTATTTCAAATTTGATATTCAAGTACAATAGCATGTTAAAAAATTTTTGATAAGTGACTTAATTAAAATTTTCATATAAAACATAAATGTATTTGGAATTTTAGAGGAAAATATGTTTAAAACATAATGAAATTATACGGAGATGTAGTCTACTTTTATTTATACCACCATTCCTTTTATCTTAGTGTTGAGTACCATCTAATTATGTTCTATCAATTTTATTTTAAAATATACAATTAGCATATTTAGATAAACCACAATA